GGGACGGGGGTGGTGGTTAAGTGTGCAAAGAAAAATAAAATCAACACAAAATTTATGACTAAGACATACTATCAGCTGCAACCTTATGCTGGCTTGTCCTTTGCTGCTATATGGTGATAGACTGCCATGAACTAAGGCAGCAGTTCTCAACCTATGGGTCGCGACCCCATTTGGGGTCGATCGACCATTTCACGGGGTCGCCAAACCACACTGTCTGCCATTTTTTCCCTTTTCCCTAGCTGTCCTATTCCCTCTTATTGTCTTTCAAAAGTGCCGTTCCTGCCTCCCTCCTCTTTGCGCATATGCAGCTTTTTTATATATAAAGTTAGGAAGTTTCGGTTTCAGAGCACATGGCGGAAAGCGATACAGAGGACAAATGGCAGAAAGCGAGAGGGAAACAACCAAAAGCAGTAAGTTTCCTCTCTGGGGGAAAGGGGTTGGCAAAAGGGTGCCACGAGCTTAAAAGAGATCGCAATAAAGAGGACGGCGAGCATGCACACCATTCACCCAAACACACACTAAGTCTTGTTGCGACAAAGTTAAGCCATGATTTACATGCCTCCTTTTAGTCTGCTTGTTCAAATGCCTTCATGATAAGCTGGGAGAATCAAAACTCCCTCTCTCTCTGGCGGCATTGAACCCACAGCAATGATGTGTGTGTGTGTGTGTGTGTGTGTGTGTGTGTGTGTGTGTGTGAGAGAGAGAGAGAGAGAGAGAGTATGTGTTTGTTTAAACAGCAGCAACAAACAACAAAAAGTATGTGTGTGTGGGGAGAAGGGAGATAGACCGGGTTTTCAAGCCGATCTCTTTTGCAGCGTATCCAGCCTGACCCCATTCAGAAGAAAGAAAGACTGCAGCCGGAAAGAAATGGGGGAAAGACATCTGCACCTTTTGTTACATTCCCCACCCCCCCCTCCCATTTTTCTGGCCTCTCGCGCAGATCTGTTCAGGGAGCCACACAATTCCAGGAGGAGAAAAGGGGTGCAGGGATATTTCCAGAAACGAGTGAATCCAGTACACACAGCGATGCCCATATTCTCCCCGGCAGATTCTACCTCTCGCTGCAAGAAAACGTGTTTAAAGTTTCTCTGCCCCTTTCTTCCCCTTTAAACCCAAGACCCTGCCTCGTTTGCAGACTAGAGCGCTTCCCGATTAGCCCAGCTTAAAACCTTAAAGCTCGGGCGTCCCTCAAAAGCTGCTTCTCCCAACGCCAGGATCAAAGAGAAAGCCGTTTAAACTTCACCTATTATTTTCCCCCACCTCGGAAGGTAACTTAGGTTCCTCCATATTGCGTTCACCCAAGCCGAGCCACCATCTGAAAACGGGCCCTCGGGTTGGGCATTGATTGCTGCCTGCAGTGAGCAGGGGGGGAAGCAGGGACCGCCTTACCTGAAGCCCCTGTGCATCCTTTCTTGAGCTGCTGATGCTGCCCGCTCCAGTTCCCTGTTCTGCTTACAATGGGTGCTAGCTAGGCAGGCTCACTTCCTCCTCCTCCGCTGCCGCCAGCAGCAGTAACTCCAGCCTCGCTGCCTCACAAGCCCTTTCGGCCTGATAGGATGCAATGTGAATCTGGAACTACATAAGGGAGGCTCGCACAGAGAAAGCCTTCTACCAGCTCGCTGCCTAGTACGCTCTAGGAGATAGAGTCCGGATCGAGTTGTTGGCCATAGGCAGCTGTATGTCAAGGACTACCTTTCCCAAAAAGCCCTGCGTGCCCCCATTTTCTCTGCCGGTTTTTTTTTCTCCCCTCCATCCACCAGCTCGAGTACGTTCGCGTTCCCTGAACCAAAAAAGCCGCGCTCAATATATTCATCCAGGCGGGAGGTCTGGGATCAGCAACGGGGCTGCAAGGCTGGCCATTCCCTTCTTTTCCGGGCTTTTGGTGATTTGCAGTGCGGCAAATTGGAAGGGCTGACTTTGAAGAGGTCGAATGGTAATACAAGTCCCTTTTCTGAATTTAAGCCTCGCTGGAGTCCTCGGTGCTTGTTTTTCAGTGAACGTAAATACGACTCAAGTATGCATGATTTTATACATGTGCTTGAAAATTTTCAGTTTGGAATTTATTTTGTCAAACTCCTTACTGGGACCTACAGCAGGAAATATTATCTTTCTAATTGAGTTTCCAGAATCTGGCATCTGCTTTTCTGATTTAATTGCATAGTGGCTCTTTCTGTGCACTTTGTTGACTGAGTCCTAGGCCCACTCCACTTGGGGCTTTATAAATAAGAGCCCTTGATCCTTTTTACCCGTCACTAATGTTCGGATCTCATCTTCAAAATGTCTTTCCCTGCAGTGAATGAAATTGATTAGCATGATGTCCTTGCTGTGATTATAGCATGGATATATGAATTTTCAGAAGTAACCAATCAACTGTGTGTAAACTTCCTCTTCATGGTCTGGATCAGGGAAAAATGGAGTTTTCCTTTGGGGAACATTATGGTGGCTAAATGAATGAAAACGGAAACATATCTTCTACTCAACTTTGCATAAAAAGTTAAATAATCTTATGCTTATAATATTGATGTCCTAAATGGCAATTAAACTGATAGAATGTTTTATTTTCAACACTTTTTAAAAAATGTTAATAATTTTAATCATATTGTTAAACATTACTTCACTGAAATCTGCACTGAAATAATATATTGTATCAATAATTATAATAAAAGGGGGAGGAACAAAAAATTACCATCCCATACATTCGGTGAGAAGCGTTCCCTTGCAGTGGCTAAAGAGCCTGGGGTATTATGATTTGATTCACCCAGCATCCAAAACAAACCAACAAATCTTATCTTGGTTTTGTGGTTGTTAAACTATGATTTACTGTGGAAGCTGCTGTTATGGTTTATCCAGCTAATAGAGTTCATCAGGTGCCTGGTTCAGCATAAAGGGGAGCCCTTTGCAAGCAGCAGTGATATAGTATTACTAATGGATTTTATTTTTTAAGCATAATGATAAAATCCTTTCTGGTCTGAAGGCTTGTTTTAAAGGGCTTTCTTTTTTTTGACTTTGTTCTCTTCCAAAAGAAGCTTATGGTGCATGGTTTACACTTGGCAACTTTTTCATCAGTAAATCTTGGCTTAGGTTGAGACTCTTTTGACTATTTTAAAAGTAATTCCAGTCACCTTTGTAGTTTTCCTAGAAACATCCAGAGAAATGGGTTTTTTTCTAATTACAACCTGTGTCATTTGGGGGTGGCCATGTCCACCAGATACAGAGCTGCAGATACCCAGAATTGGTCCTGCAACCCTCCCACTGACTCAGATCCACTTAAAAAATATTCATCTACTCTGCTTTTTTCCAAGTACAAACAAATGCTCAAAGAAATCAGCTTGGACTTTGGAAGGAGGTGGCATCAGTATGTTGATGGCATTTTGCTTGCCTTGTGTTTGGCCCAGAATCAGTGTCTGAGATCAGTAAGGGGTTGGGAGGGAGCCAGTCAACTAGCTGAGCTGATTGTGCAGTCAAATGGTGTCAGTCTGCTTTCCTTTCGTCCTGAATGAATCTTCTTCACCTGGATGCCCTCTTGATGTGTGGATTAGAATTTGCCTCAACTGATGCTATCAACTGGTGATCTGGAGATACAGATCTTTGATACAGTTTTGGTAACTTCTGCAATGTGCTGCCTATGACTTCTGGTTTGTGGTTTGGTGATCTCTGTGTTTTCTTGCAGATGTTTCATTACCAAAACTAGGTGTCAGAATCCAATTATATTTCATCTCTAGTTATCAACTATAGAAAACCCCATTTCTGCCTTCTCTGGATTCTGTCATACGATGAAGGGAAGGGGGTGAACAAAGGGGCTTTATGGCCCTCACTTCCTTCAGTATACTTCAAAGGGACTGGATGTGGATATCACCAAAAGGACTAACCATAATAATGGGGCTATTACCTTTCATGTACTCCTCTCTGAATGGGGCTATTACCTTTCATGTACTCCTCTCTGAAGTCTCCATCCAGCCGGCAGTAAGGAAAAGGGGGTGGGAGTGTAATGTCTGAGACTGTCGCTGAAGAAGGGGGTGATTGGGTGGGGCTACTGGGGAACCCCTTAAAACCTTGACTGGGAGAGCTTGGACCCCAAGTCCTGTCTAAAACGCCTGCAACCATTTTCTCTTAATAAAGGATGCCTGTTGGAAGAACTATTCCAAGAGTTCTATCTTCTTAAGATGTGAAGTGGGGTGGGTCCTTACACTAGGTAACATCAAACTAAGAAATACCGTATTTTCTGGCCTATAAGACAATCCCCAACTTTTGAGAAGATTTTCAGGGTTTAGAATCCTAAACCCTAAAAATCTTCTTAAAAGTTGGGGGTCGTCTTATATGCTGGAAAATACGGTATTCCATTTCTAGTTTAAGTCTCTGTTACTACTAAACCTGTTTTATGACTTTATCAATTTACAATTTCCATAATCAAATATTGTTTTACTTCAACAGATTATCACTTCAATTATCTCTTCCAGATATGTTCAAGTTCTTAATCTCTCTCATCCCTCTTTTAATCACCAGTCTCATTTGTATCTTCTTCCAATAATAACTAACTTAGTTAAAAAAAAGAAACAATGTTAAACCTTACTTCATTTCAATTCATTACACAAACTTCAAATCACATCCAAATAATTATCATACCTTATCAGATCATATTATTATACACAAAAATCACCTAATTAATTTAAGCACTTCAAAGTTCCAGTCTAAAAACTCAACATTTTTTCAATTCCAGTACATATATATGTCTATATATTGGGCAGATTCTGCCTACACTCCCTGAGATTGGGTGGTGCATCTTGGGCTCCCAAATCATGATGAATACTCGGTTATGTGGCCACCTAAATATGGACATGTGTTTTCTCATGGTCTCAGATCTCTGGCTAAAAATTTGAATTGCATGAGCCTGATTTCTTTCCCAGGATAATTGAGTTGATTTTCCACCAAAGGAGTAAGACTCCTCCCATGGAGTTGGTGATTGCTGACTGTGAAGTTCTGGGAGTTGAAGTCCACATGCCATAAAATTGTCAAGGTTGAGAAACACTGGGTTTGTAAATAGAACAACACAGAGTGGTAAATCATAGGAAACTTTAATGAACTGTTTTGACTGAACTATGCCATGTGTCATGTTTTGTATTATTGAAGCTATTGTTACATATTTTCACTAGCAAACCACTCAAGACAATGGATCCGAAGAACATCAGGAAAAGGAAATATCGTGAGGATTTCCTACAATATGGCTTCATGTCTATATATACAGCGGGAATCGAGAAACCGCAGTGTGTACTTTGTTCCAAAGTTTTATCAGCAGAATCAATGAAGCCTAACAAACTTAAATGACATTTTGAAAGCAAGCATCCAAGCTATGCTGGCAAGGACACAAACTATTTCAGAGCAAAAGCTGATGGACTGAAGAAAGGCAGATTTGACACTGGTGGCAAGTACCACAGACAAAATGTAGCGGCCATTGAAGGGTCATATTTGGTGGCACTCAGAATCGCCAGAGCCATGAAGCCTCACACTATTGCAGAGGAGTTACTGTTGCCAGCGGCCAAAGACCTTGTTCGAGTTATGATCGGAGATGAATTTGTGACAAAATTTAATGCAGTTTCCTTGTCCAATGACACTATCCACAGAAGAATAGATGACATGTCTGCTGATATTCTTGATCAGGTAATCCAAGAAATTAAATCTGCTCCACTTCCAATATTTAGTATCCAGCTTGATGAATCTACAGATGTTGCAAACTGTTCCCAGTTACTGGTTTTCGTGAAATATATTTACGATGGTGCCTTTAAAGACGAGTTTCTGTTTTGCAAACCTCTTGAAACAACAACTACTGCACGTGATGTATTTGACAAAGTTGGTTCATTTCTGAAAGAGCATAACATATCTTGGGAAAATGTTTGTGGTATTTGCACAGATGGTGCTCCAGCTATGCTAGGATGTAGATCTGGATTTCAACGTTTGGTATGGAATGAGTCACCGAAAGTCATCGGAACTCACTGTATGATTCATCAGCAAATATTAGCAACAAAGACGCTGCCACAAGAATTACGAGAAGTAATGAAAAGCGTCATAAATTGTGTCAACTTTGTAAAGGCAAGCAGCTTAAACACAAGATTGTTTTCACAACTGTGCAACGAGTTGGATGCGCCAAGCAATGCTCTGCTATTTCATACTGAAGTGAGATGGTTGTCGAAAGGAAAAGTTTTAAAACGTGTTTTTGAGCTTCGTGATGAACTCAAAACGTTTTTTATTCAGAAAGAAAGACCGCAGTTTGAAGCTATTTTCAGCGATAACAGCGAACTGCAGAAAATAGCTTACTTGGTTGACATCTTTGCCATCTTGAATGAGTTAAATTATCACTGCAAGGACCAAATGCAATGTGCCTTGATTTGTCTGAAAAGATCCGATCATTCCAAATGAAACTGCAGCTTTGGCAAAAAAATTGGATGAAAATAAAATTTTCATGTTGCCTACCTTATCTACTTTCTTTGAGGAACATGACATTAAACCAGACAACAGGATTTTTTTTTTATTGAAAATTTTTAAAATTTTACAAAGAAAAAAGTTCCCTTCCCCAAACCCTCCCAACCCACCCCAACCCTCCCCCAACCTTCCCAGAGCTGAATACAGGCTTAATTAAAATTTAAAAGAAAAATTTTTAAACACAAATGAACCATATACAAATTTGGTTACAATAATTAAACAAATCATAAAATACTTTAACACCAATACTTAAAAAACAGAAAGAGAAAAAGAAAAGAAACAAGAAGAAGAAAAAAAAAGAAATTAGAAAGAGAAAAAAAATATCTAAAAAATATTTAACTTTAAATATAAATTATTCAAAAGCTAAATAATATTTTTTTTATATCATACTTGTATTGTATAAAATTTATCCATCTTTTCCATACCAAAAGGTACTTCTCTTGCGATTGATCTTTCAAAAAAGCCGAAATCTTTGCCATTTCCGCTAAATAGGAAACTTTAAGAAACCATTCTTGCAAAGTAGGCAAAGATTCCTTCTTCCAGCATTGCCCTACTAACAATCTAGCCGCTGTAATTAAATTTAACATTAATATAGTTTCTTTACTGTCACAGTCGGAAACAATACCCAACAAAAACAATTGTGGAGTAAATTTTATCCTTCTTTTAAAAATTTTTTGAATATTCCACCATATCTTAATCCAAAAAGCTTTTATATTTTTGCATAACCACCAAATATGATAATAAATAGCATCCAAGCAACCACATCTCCAACATTTAGGCTGCAAGTTTGAATACATACGAGACATTTTTTGTGGATCAAGGTGCCATCTATAAAACATTTTATAAAAGTTTTCCCGTAAGTTTTGGGCTTGTGTAAATTTAACATTCCTCACCCAAATAATCTCCCAAGTATCTAATGGAACCGATTCATTAAAGTTTTGTGCCCATTTAACCATACAATCTTTAACTAGGTCTGCTTCTGAATCCAGTTCCACTAACACCCCATAAATTTTTTTGATATTGGTTCGTCTTTGATCTTTTAACAAATTCTCATCCTCTCTAAGCAAACCCACCTTACAATCTGTCTTCCACCTTTCCAATAATTGTCTATACTGAAACCATGAAAAAATAATATTTTCTTCTGTTAAATCTTCCATGGATTTTAATTGTCAATTAAAGTAATTGACAATTAAGTAATTGTATATAAGAAATGCTATCCATCTTAACTCCTCTCCTTATCCCTTCTATCGCATGCCATGGAATAGCCCATAATGGAATTCTTGAATCACTTCTATAATATTTCTTCCAAACCCAAAGTAAGGAAGTTCTTAAAATATGAGACTTAAAAACCCTGTCAACCTTCTTATTAAAAATTAAATAGGCATGCCATCCAAAAAGTAAATTCCATCCCTCCAGGAGGAGTACATCTACATTTGTTAAGTTAACTCAATCACTAATTAATGTTAACACCACAGCATCGTAATACAATTTCAGATTCGGTACCTTGAGTCCACCTCTCTCACTAATATCTTGTATAATTTTAAGTTTTACTCTTGGTTTTTTCCCTGCCCAAATAAATTTGTTGATACCTTTCTGCCATTCATTTAAATTAACCTCATTCTTTAGAATAGGTATCATTTGAAATAAAAAGAGAAACTTTGGCAAAACATTCATTTTAACTGCTGCAATTCTCCCCAATAGGGACAATTGCAGCTTCTTCCAATTTCCCAAATCCTTTTGTATTTTAACCCACAGCCTTTCATAATTATTTTTATACAGTTTTGCATTAGAAGCAGATAAGATAACCCCCAGATATTTTACCTTATTAACAACCTCAAAATCTGTCAACCTAACTAGAGTCTCCTTATCCAAATTAGTCGTATTTTTAAGCAATATTTTAGTCTTATTGTTATTAATTTTAAAACCTGAAACTTGTCCATACTGATGTATCAATTGTAACAATTCAATTACAGAATAAGTTGGTTGAGATAAAGTAACAACCAAGTCATCTGCAAAAGCCCTTAATTTATATTCTTTTTTATTGACTTCTATTCCTTTTATTTTCTGTGATTCCCGAATTTTAATCAGCAAAATTTCCAAAGTTAAAACAAACAGCAATGGTGACAATGGACAACCCTGTCTGGTCCCCTTCTCAATTGAAAACACCTCTGACAAACCTCCATTAACTATAAGTTGTGCCGTTTGTTTTTGATAAATAACACGAAGAGCTTGTAAAATTTTTTCTCCAAAATTCATTTCCTCAATTAATCTTAACATAAATTGCCAGTTTAACTGATCAAAAGCTTTTTCAGCATCTAAAAATATCAATCCTGCAGAAACTTGGTTGTTTTTATCCAAATATTCTATTAAGTTAATAATTTGTCTAACATTATTCTTCATATACCTTCCAGTTATAAAACCCGTTTGATCCATATGTATTAATTGTTTTAACACCCTCATAAGTCTATTAGCTAGAATTTTCGAAAAAATCTTATAATCTACATTCAAAAGAGATATGGGTCTATAATTCTTTGGTAATGTGAGATCTTGGTCTTCTTTTGGAATCAAAGATATGAAAGCTCTGCCCCATGACAAGGGGGTCTCTGAACCCTGTAATATATTGTTAAAAAGTTCTCTTAAAGGTTGTTTCAACTCTTCTACCAAGGTTTTGTAATAAATAGATGTCAGTCCGTCAGTACTCGGTGCTTTACCTAATTTTAGTTCTTTAATTACTATCTCAATTTCCTCAGTGGTAATCAAACCGTTAATTTCTTGTTTCTGATCTTCTGTTAACTTAGGAAAATGAGCATCTTGCAAATATTTATCTATATCTGAAGCCTGTACTTTCATTCCCGTATATAATTTTTTATAATAGTCTAAAAAAGATTTCTTAATCAGCTCCTTCTGATATACCACTTTACCATTATAATTTATTTTATCTATAGTCCTCAACCTCTGCTTCTTTCGCAATTGATAAGCCAACCATCTCCCTGGTTTGTTAGCATTGCAAAATGTATTATGTTTCATATACAGTAAGTTGGTTGCAGTTTGGTCAGCCATCAACATGTTAAATTGTGATTTAATCAGTTTTATAGATTCTTTAACCTTCTCATCTGTAGGATTCACAATTAAGGCTTTTTCTTTTAATTTAATCTCCTCTTCCAACTCCTTACATTTCTGTACCTGGTTCTGTCTATAAACCTTATTCATTTGTGTCAAGACCCCCCGCATGTAAGCTTTACCTGCATCCCAAACCATTGGCATTGACATTCCCTTATACATATTTAAAGCAAAATATTCCTTTAATTGCTCCTTTAATTTCTGAACATTCTTTTCTTGTCTAAATAAATTTTCATTCATCCTCCAAGATCTCCTCTCCTCTTTTCATTAACCAGTTCCATCCAAACTGGATTATGATCCGTCAATGTTCTAGGAAAAATCTTAGCATCCTTTACCCTAAAATATAAGTCCGTTGTAATAAAAAAAAAAATCAACTCTTGAAAAAGATTGGTGTCTGTCCGAGAAAAAGGTGAAGTCTCTCTCCTCCAAATTGTGTTCACACCAATAGTCTCTCAACTCCCAGTCCTCTTTCAAATCAAAAAAAGCCTTAGGTAATTTAGCCTGTTTAAAAGAAATAGAAGATCCTTTTTTATCTCTTTGTGTATCTAAAATACCATTCCAGTCTCCCATTAATATAACAGATCTATAATCCAGCAAAGTCAATTTTTGATGTAACAGTCTGTAAAATTGTTCCTGTTGTTGGTTTGGTGCATACAAACCTACTATAAGTAGTTTCTTACCATACAGTCCCACTTCAATCATAACATATCTCCCTTGAGGATCAGAATCTACTAAACAAGCTGATAAATTTTGCTTAACATAAATAACTACACCCCCTTTTTTCCCAAGAGCAAAAGATGCAAAATGAGATCCCAGTCGGGTGTTAACTAAATATTTTTGATCCTTAGAAATAATATGTGTTTCCTGCAAACAAATAATATCATTGTTATGTTGCTTTAAATAGTGAAATATTTTCTTTCTCTTCTGAGGGGAATTGAGGCCATTAGCATTCCATGTCAGGAGCTTTACCATCTCCCTTGGCCATAAGCCTGGAGAAGACTGCTTGAAGATCTGCCATTGAAGAATGTACTGCAGAACTCTTGGGTCTTGCTCCTCCCACAGGCTCAGAAACAGATTCTTGTAAAACTTCTTTAACATCTTTCTTCTGTTGTTCCTTTTCCTTACAACCAGACAACAGGATTATGTTGATAAAATCTGTTAAAAAACACCTGCACATGCTTGCAGATGAAACCTCATCGTACTTTCCAAATCTACCTGACACCCCATTTGCACTTGCCAAAAGCCCATTCACAGTCAACGTTGAAAATGTTCCTGAGACAGCACAAGAGTTCATTGAACTTATTAACAGTGATGCAGCGAAAACTGATTTCTCCACAATGCCAGTTACAAAATTCTGGACCAAATGTTTGCAATCATATCCTGTTCTGTCTGAGATTGTGTTGCACCTTCTTCTTCCATTTCCAACAACATATCTTTGTGAAACAGGGGTTTCCAGCTTGTTGGTTATCAAGTCTAAATACAGAAATAGACTTGTTGTGGAAGATGATCTTTGGTGTGCTCTTGTAAAGACTGCCCCGAGAATTTCTGATCTGGTAAAAGTAAGCAAACTCAACCTTCACACTGATGTTGGCTTTTTATGCATACTGTTGAAAAATGTAGAATGTAGTTTACTGTTGTTATATTAAGACTGTTACCCATCTACACCATGCTTCAACACAAAATTTCATTGTTTTGTAATTAAAAATAAATATTTAACAATATATAATTACATATTGTTTTTGTGATTAATCACTATGCTTTAATTATATTCAATGCAAATATATCCTGCATATCACATATTTACATTGCGATTCAGAACAGTAGCAAAATTACAGTTATGAAATAGAAACTAAAATAATTTTATGGTTGGGGGGTCACCACAACATGGC